TGAAGTCTGAAGTGTTCTGGCCCGTGAGGACTGGAGCCTGACACGTGTCCTAGAAAACAACTGGAGGCAACATAAAAAAAGACTTATTTAGATCAATTAGAGCCTGTAAACAACAACAACTACACTCTTAGCAAAAATGGTTCTATATAGTACCAAAAAATGGTTATTTGGCTTTTTGGTTCTATGTAGAACCATCTACAGCACATTCTCAATCAGTCTGAAGAGCCCTCTCATGGTGGAAAGAATCCTGTAATCATGTGAAGGGTTCTTTGAGTGTTCATGGTTCTATATAGAATCATTTTTCTTTACTAAATACTAAATTTTATATATCATTTGATTTTTGCCCTCCTGTTCCTTAGTTTGTTTTTGCAGCCATTAAGATAAAATGTCATTGATCTCATATTGTTTAAATGCCTTTTTTAAGTGTGGCACTACAGTTTTGCTGGTGCATTTTGTTTGCAAGCCTCTAAATATTGACATTCATATCATGAGGTTGTATTCTTTTGTGAAAACCGAAGTTATCATTTTTAAAAATGGACACAAATTTTGCTTAATCTATTTATTCTTTACCCTATTTACGCTATTCATTCTTTACTTTATTCTTTAATTGACAGAGAAGAAAAGAAGCCCAAGAGCATAAAAAAGAAGTGTAAAAAAAGGTGTGAGGCTGCTGATTGAGACAGGCTTGACGCGCTGCTGTTGCCTGAAGCATCAGCCACACTTCACATAGTGTGAGTTCACTCTAGAGAGTGTTGACAGATATGCAATACACTCTTAACAAGAAGGGTTCTGTATGGTACGAAAAAGGGTTCTTTGGCTTGTAACAATAGTGGAACCCTTTTTGGTGCTATATGGAACCCTTTTCAAAAATGTTCTTTATTGAACCATCGAGAGCACATTCTCCATCAATCTGAAGAACGCTTTCATGATGTAAAGAACCCTATAATAATGCAAAGAGTTCTTCTAATGTTCATGGTTCTATATATAACCACTTGTTTTACTACACACTTAAAAAAGATGTTTCTTCAAGGGTTTTTTACTAAAGAAAATGGTTTTATATTGAACCATGAACACTCCAACAACTCTTTGCATGATTCAGTGGGTCTTTGCATCTTAAAAGGGTTCCTCTGATTGATGGAGAATGTGATGTAGATTGTTTCATGTAGAACCTTTTTGAAAAGGGTTCTGTTATTGTTAGAATATGAGCTTTGAACAATAGAAGAACCCTTTTGGGTGCTATATAGAACCCTTTTCAAAAAGCTTTTATACAGAACTGCCTGTAGCACATTCATGCACATTTCCATCAGAAGAAATCTGAAGAACCCTTTCATGATACAAAGAACCCTTTAATCTTGCAAAGTATTATTTAAGTGTTTATGGTTCTATGTAGAACAACTTCTTTACTAAAGAACCCTTAAGGAACCATCCTTTTTGAGAGTGTATGCTCAATATGCTATTAGAGTTACATGAAGAGCTCACTTTTAGGGTGTAGGGTTAAAATTCCATACACTCTTACAAAGATGGTTCTTCAAGGGTTCTATAGTAAAGACAATGGTTCAAAGAACCATTTGCATGATTACAGGTTCTTTGCATGGTGAAACGGTTCTTCAGATTGATGGAGAATGTGTTGTATATGGTTCTATATAGAACCTTTTTGAAAATGGCTTTATATAGCACCAAAAAAGAACCCTTATTGGTGCTATATAGAACCCTTTTCAAGAAGGTTCTACATACACTCTTAAAACAGATGATGTGTTAAAAAACAACACATTCTGTCTCTAATCAGACACATCAGTGTTGACAGTTGGTGACAACACATTTTTGGGTTACTTTTAACACAATGTGTTACATAAGAAAACAGTATAACACAAAAAGTGTTAAAATGGGTAACACAAGTTAGTGTGTTGTTATTTAACGCGTCACTTTTTAGAATGTAGAACCAAAAACAACACAGAAGAACCATGTCCCCATGCAAAGAACCATTTAAGCATGCAAATGGTTCCTTAAGTCTTCATTGTCTTTATTAAAGAGCCCTTGAACCCTTTTTCTAAGGGATTTTGATTTGATATGTAATCAGTGTTGTCTATGTAACTCCAGCTATCTGGTGCTAAACCATGTTTTGAAGTTCTACAAGAGATTTGCTTGCATACATAGTTGCCCTAAAAAGTATTTGGATGCTTGTGCTGTACTTGTATAAATATATTAAGTTCATTTCAAAATGTCAAACCGAGTGGCATTATTTTGTGAGTTTTGTGTTGTTTAAGCAGATTCTTTGCGGACTTCCAAGACGCATATCTTTGTACACTTCTGACTTCATGATCCTATCAGTCAGGGTGGGGCAGGGGTGCCATAGCAGTGTTGAGTGAGATACATAGAAAAATGTAACAAGCTAACATATCAGTGAGTTACTTTACCAAAAAAAAACAAAGTTCATGTACATGAAAGCAGCTCTTAAGAGAAAGGCAGCTAGCTGCATTACTAGCTACCTGGCTAAAGTAGCTTGCTACATTGAAGCTATTTCATAAATAATGTTTCTATGAAACTAATTTAAACTGTACTGACCTGCCAGTCTAACAGCTTGTTCTAACAGTTTGCCTTTGGAAAGTCAGTAGTTGGCAGGCTGAGCTCAAAAGCTCATTACATGTAACAACAGTAATCAATCAATCAATCAACTCACCTCTGAATGTTTTAGTTTTCTTTATAGCACCCAAAACGCTCTTTTATTGTTACAAGCTTGACATTGTAACAGTAGAAGAAGTCTTTTTGGTGCTGTATAGAACCATTTTCAAAAAGGTTCTATATAGAACCATATACAGCACATTCTCCATTAGTCTGAAGAACCATTTAATAATGCAAAGTACCCTTTAATCATGCAGAGGATTCTTTGAGTGTTCATGGTTCTATATAAAACCATTTTCTTTATTAAGAACCTTTGAGGCACCATCTTTTTTAAGAGTGTATGAGTACACAGCGCTTATTACGTTTCAGGCACAGCCTCAGTGTTTCGGTTTCAGTTAAACTCATGATAAATTTAAACCTTTCAATTTCAATCGGTTTAAAGATAAAATTGAAAAAAAGCAAAAAAATGTTTACAGTTGAAGTTGAAATGTAGGGGTTAGGGTTTTAGACACCCACCTCCCAATAGAAAGTACCCTACAAATGATGATTTTGTATATATGTAGCTTATTAATACCTCAATGAATGCCTTGGGTTTAAATATATCCTAATATAATCCTTATAAATATATATATTTTTTAAACATATTTTTAACTATGGGACTGCAGTATGAACTAAGTCAGTAGAAAGGTCTATGCATTTATATATGATACGGGAAATTAAATGATGTAGCATGTCGACATTGCCCGGCTACTTAATCAATAAGCAGTTTCACTACTGAAAAGCTACTTGATGTGGAAAAAAGCAACATTACCATCATGCTGGTGGTAAATGTAGTTAAATGAATAACTTTGCTACTTCCCAAAGGTTTCAACCCAAGTGCTTCTTAACAGTGCAGAGCTGCACTCTACATCTGGAAGTCCCCGAAGACTCTCTTTGTTAAATACTCCAGGAGATCAGTGGCAGAATCTGTGTCTCCCATTTTGCAATACAGTGTTGAGTGTTTTGTGTATGTTGAAGAGCTTAAAACACTGTTTAGGATTAAACAGAACAACTGGCCATAATTTTGCCAGTTCAGTTTGTCTTTTAAATCAGATTTATTGATCATAACAATTCATCAAAAAGACACAATTTTCCCTACCCTGAATGATGTCTGAAATTTGCCCCATCCAAAACTAAAGATAACAATATTTAAAACAGTGTCAGATTCCACATAAGAAAGTGTATTAGAGATATAACAACTCAACAGGTTTTGAGTCAGACACAGTACGTCTACTGATTTAGACTCGTACTTTGCACAGTGCTAACTGATAGGCTTCCATTACTTGTTAGCTATGTTAGCCTTGTAGCTTCAGTGCAAAAAAACTAAAAAACACCAAACATGTCTTGGCTGATCGACTGGAAAATTATGTAAAGTGGATTGTTAATTTATCTATTCCTATAATTGTGCACTTTACTGCAGACTGAGTTCTCTGTTTTTTGTATTTGTTTGTCATGCACAATTTTAAACAAAGTTATACTAAAGGATAACTAAAGCCGTAGAAATTGCAGTAATTACCAGCAATAACACATGCATGTTGTGATTTTATATTATCTTTTAATTATTTAATTAATTCTCACTAGTAGTTCATTTAAGTGGAGAAATTAAAGCACTGTTAAAGTAATGTTTTTCAAAATTCTATAAGCATTCAGATTTGTGATGTAAAATAGAAAGTTGTAGAGAAACTTAGAGACTCAGATTTCTTTACAGTGGTGGTGATAGGAACCAGAGGGCTATTTTATTTATTATGAAAATGATCAGTGAAACGACACGTATCTTTTTTATCTGTTTTTATCTGTAATGTTGATGATGGCAGATGAGTAGTAAATATGAAAAAATATGTTTTATTTAGAGACTATTTTGCCTTAGAAAATAATATATTTTAGGCCAAAATTTTACTGCAAAACTACCATAAAGCAGTTTCTCAGGCATCAGACAGCGTTTTGCCAGGTAACATTAAGAGGTGTCAAACTTATCAGGTGTTTGGTTTCACCACCGTTGTGAACAAATCCAACACATTAAGTTTCTTCAAATGGGCACATTTTAAATCAAACCACTCTGACTGACTTTGTTTACATCTGAACCAATTTTTCCCCACATGATATGAAAAATGCCGGATGCAGTTTACAAAGTGTGAAAGCTGTGTGACAAATGGACCAATAGCAGTGGTCCAAACTCTCATTACATTAACTTAATAAAGTTATTATTTTGAAGATTCAAGGGCACTGAATTATCTAATTTAAATCAAATCAATTGCATAATGTCAGTAACAATTCTAGATGTCTATAGGTCAGTTACAATAACAAAGTTTTAAAAATAACAATCCCTGTGGTCCGTCTTTCAGGTGACCGGAGCAGGATTTCTCTGGGCAGTTGGGGCTAGCTGAGCAGTCATGGCAGATAAGGTGCCGACTTTGTCTTACTTCTATGGCAACATCACTCGTGAGGAGGCAGAGGACTACCTCAGACAGGCGGGCATGAGTGATGGCCTCTACCTGCTGCGCCAGAGCAGGAACTACCTGGGAGGCTTCGCTCTGTCAGTGGCCTATAACCGCCAGTGCTACCACTACACCATTGAGAGGGAGATGAACGACACCTACGCCATTGCAGGCGGGAAATCACACCGAAACCCAATAGATGTGATTGATTATCATGCTCAGGAGTCAGACGGGCTCATCTGCCTGCTGAAAAAACCCTGCAACCGGCCCCGCGGCGTGGAGCCCAAAGTGGGAGCCTTTGAGGACCTGAAGGAGCAGCTTATTAGGCAGTATGTCAAACAGACCTGGAACCTGCAGGTTAGTGGCAGCACTGCTTCTCACCTGTGGTTTCCTGCATCTACAGCAGTGCCAGACTTCAGTTCTGAATGGCTACAGCACTGCAGAGTAGGCCTGTCATAGTGATGAAATTCTAGCTGATGATTCTTTGTTGTTTGTCTCTATAACTGAAACATTGAAATTTGGTATTTGGTTCTTCATTTTTGCTGTGTGGAAGCTTTGTCTTTTTATGCTTTAGACCATCAGTATTCTCAAAAACTCTCATGGATTCCTGGCAAGTTGGAGGCTTATTCATCTAAAACATCATAAAACCAGGAGAAAATGGCAGTTGTTTAATGATGGACATGACAGTAGGCAACACCCCCATGATTACTTAAGCCCCCCTTTATCTTTAAAAAACTGAATCAAGATAAGTTAGTGAAAGATACTAAAATGGCAAATAATGTTTAGGTAAAGAGAAATAGCCAAATATACATTAGTTTTGCTATAGATTCAATGGCCCCACTTTATATTAAGTGTCTTTAATAACTGCATAGTTACACAGGAATAAAATATGCAACCACACTGTAACTACTGATGATTCAGTCAATGAAACAGATGGATTACAGAAGTACAGCCTATGTAATTACACATGTGTATCAACTTCAGTTTTGCCTCATGTAATTACAAAAGTGTGTCTTCTACACAGGAACTTTTCTGTAGTGTAGTGTTAAAGTTACACTTTAATATAAGTGGACAGTTCCTGTGTAGTTGTTATGTAGGTACTGTGTAATAATGGATTGGTAATATAGACATTGCTTTAGGGGTAATGCAACACATTTACTTAATGTCATAACAGTTACATTTTAAGATAAGGGGACACCTGCTGTACTGTCACATTACAGAATAGTTGAAAGTTGAAACTGGTTACAATGTCACAGCATTAGCAACATAAATGATAGCTAAATGTTAGGAAAGCAGGCAGATACAGTACAAGTAATGTCTTAATGTATGTTATTACCTACTTCCTTTTACTGCTGGAAAAAAAAAAACTTCTAAAAACTTCTGTTCCAGTCTGATTGCATATGTAATTACATTTATGTTATTACTCTTGTGTAGTTACACATGAGAGAATAGGCTGTTACAACTATTAAAATACACTTGTGTAATTACATGAGGCAAAACTGAAGTTAATACACATGTGTAATTGCATAAGGTGTACTTCTGTAATTCATCTGTAACAATGACTAAATCATTAGTAGTTAAATTGTTGTCACATTTGTTGTTCACATGTAACTACACAGTTATTAGAGACACTTAATATGAAGAGGGACTGATTCAACTGATGAATTAGATTTAAGTGAAGAAGCTGATCATCCTCAGTCATTCATTGCCACAGACCTGAGAGATGGAGGTAAACAGAGATAGCAGTCTAGCTAACTAGTAACACATGAACAGCTGTAAATCTATACAAATTTAGAATAAAACATTGAAATAACTCATGTTTTAATTATGATTTATATGGGTCCAGGTTATTTCACTTGCAATTGAACATGGATCACTAAGTTAGCAGTTGAATATTAGCATGGCTGTCTATTCAGTAAATCAGCTAAACTGGCTAAACATGTCGCTGAACAAAGATTTCTTAAAAACTTCTAACTTAAACTTCATCATCTTAGCTATCTAGGTAAGCAAAAATACAATCAGACTCCTGTGTCTCATGATCTGACATAAAATTAAAGCACATCTCTCTTGGCATCTTTTGGGCGTCGCTTGTAAAAGGAATGTTTAAATGTGTCACTATTTGTTACAAATTGTACATCATACAGTGTTGGAATCCACATAAGCAAGTCTATTTGGGATTACTTAACAACTCCACACAGTTTGAGGAGAGTGTGTCATGGCTTAAGCACACAGTTTGCATGATGCTAAGTGGTGTGGTATGAGCGTCTATTACTTTTTAGCAACATTAGCCTCCTAGCCATACTGCGAAACTAAAGTTTCAGTTTGAATGATTTCCTCAATTAAACAACCACTAAAATCCACGTTCATTTGCTCTCATCTCTGTAAACTCTGCTCTGCATGCTCTGGTTTCTGCGTTTGTAACTCAGAATTAAACTGGCGGTTACTGTATCAAACTCTAGGCAACACTTTTTTTGATGGCCTTTATAGTATGTCATAATGCAGGCATAATCATTGAATAAAGTATTTATAAAGCAGTATAAAGTGATTATCAAAAACCTAACATAAGATGTTTTATGATGTTTTTCTTCTTCACTTTAGCTGAAGGCTCTTTATGTCAATACGTTGTCATTTACCTCATAAAACAGCTTATGTCATCTTGTGATTACTGTTCATAAATTCTCAAGTTTTGTTCTATGCCTATGTATGTGTTATGAAGTCCATGTAGATAGCCTTCAAATGAACCAAACTCGAACAGACATTTCCCCTAATCATGATTCCCTACATTGTAAAATGTAAAACACACTATAGATCACAGAAATCATGAAGTTGCTAAGTAATCTCCGTCAGTAGAGCCTAAATTTGACTCCCTAAATCTACAGTATACTTAATTTGAGCCTTCTGTTTCTTCACATGCTAAAAGACACTGTCATTCAAAGAGTGACTTCCTGAAAGCCATTTTCACATCTGACATGCAGATATTACGTAATGCGAGAAAACATCACAGCATCTGTCTTTCTTGCACTCTCAGGCAAGAGAAAAATTGTCTTAACCCCGTAAACTCTAACAACCTGCCAGTGTCTCATAACCACACATAGTTTTTACATTTTACAGTTGTTACAATTATTTTACACAGTAATTATATTGTAATTACCAGATAATTAATAGTAGTTACTGAATAATGAGCCTTAAGCTTAATAAATGAATAACAAAGCTGTGGTTTAAGAGGGTAAACGTGACTCTTTTTAGTCGAATACTTTGACAGTTGACCACGTTCTATGGAAATTAACTCTTTTCAGATAACTCAGACAAATAGATAGTTAAATGTTTGTTAACTGAAAGCTTGAACTGACCTTAGAGACAAAAATAAAGCAAATTCAGTTTTTCCTTCTTTTTAAATATGGAATTACTGTTTAATAGTATTTGTAAGATTCAAAACAATGTAGAACCATGTACCATTCTTTATTAATAATCTGTAAGACCCACAATTGTTTCGAATTTTTTACCTTAATACTGAGTAATACATACATAGCTCTTACTTTGACGGCTTACTTCAGCTTCAACTTTTTAAAGGACATCTCTGACAATGGAGGCTGCTGAGTGCAGGAAAGTTATTTTTTCAGCCTTACTGTTTATGATATTTTGTAAATTTCAGACCATGAAGCTTTAGAAATGTGTTTTAAACAGGGTGCTGCACTGGAGCAGGCTATCATCAGTCAGAGGCCGCAGTTGGAGAAGCTAATTGCAACCACAGCGCATGAGAAGATGCCCTGGTTCCATGGCAGTATTTCACGCGAAGAGTCGGAGCTACGCTTACACAACAGCGCGCGCGTCAACGGCAAGTTTCTGTAAGTAACCTTAAAGAACGCACATTCGGCAGCATTGCTGCACAGAGCTGAGCTGCATGTGATAGACACCCACTACATTTCTGAAAACATGCCAGTCTGATTACTTTATACTGTATTTTTGTTTCTGTATATAATATTATAATATTATATAAGTTAAATTACATTAATTACATACAAAAACATATCTACAGTATAAAGTAATCCGACTGGCATGTTTTCAGGAATGTAGCTGATATCTTAGCCCATTAGGAAAACAAAGGTGTCTCCTGGATTAAATTCACTCAAATCCACCACCAGCTTTCCTGATTAATTTAATGAAGGATTGATTAGACAAATCAGACACTGGATGAAAATGACAAATAACACTAGGCAGCCTCAGGAAGAGGTTTGGAAATGCTTAAACAAACACACTGACTCACCACACATAGAATCACTTTGTTGTATTAATGTAATATAATTTAATTTAAATGTGTTTTTTTCTGAGCAAAAAACACTCACTACCAAGTTTGTTTTTAAATATATTTTTTTTAGGTGCTTAAGACTTTTGATCAGTACTTCAGCCATCTTGATGAAAATCTAGCATTGCATGTGGAATATTGACACTTAGTTTGTAAAAGGGGAATTTGTTCAATAAAAGAAGATTTTAGGGTTAATTTGGTTACAAATAGGTTTCATTATTCAATATATGAGCAAAAATAATAATTAATAATTTACATAGAATAAAATAACTATCACTGTATTTGACAGAGAGAGAGAGAGAGAAAGAGAGAAAAGAGGGAGAGAGAAAGAAATTGAGAAAGAGTGAGAAAGAAAGAGAGAGAGCGGGAGGCATTGCGGTTTCCGCTCTCACAGGACTTCCTGAAGTGACCAGAAAAAACAGTGGGAGGAGTCTGAGAACATGAGAATGTATGTGTGTGTGTGTGTGTGTATGTGTGCGCTTGTCTTGTTATGCATGTGAGGACCACATGTGCTCACAGTGATAGGAAAGGACATTTTGCTGGTTCTCACTTGAGCATCTGCTGTTTTCACTTTGGAAAAAGTAAACGAGCAGAAAAAGTGCCTTTTGGATACTGAGGTTAAGGTTAGGTTTAGGTGTAGGTGTAGAATTTTTTGGCTACAGTCATATAAAAATATATAGAAATCAATGTAAGCAGACATATGTGTGTGTAAAAGAACAGAGTAAATAGAATAAACGTTTGAAAAAAACATCAACTCAGGAAAAACACATCTTTAGTCTGTGTTTTACAGTAAGGAATTCACTCCTGCTAAATGACCTGCTTTCACTTTTTCACTTGTTTGGTATTAATCAAATCTGAATTTGTACAACAGAGAAATTGAAATTGTTTTGTCTTGTTTAATATCCTTTAACAATGGCTTTATCTTAATAAATGTCTTTACCCAATAAGCAAACAAACAAGAACACAATGCAATATAGCAATTATTTGGCCAATAAAATTCATAGCATTATTTTCTGACACAATAAAGATTTCTTTACATGCTGAATGTATCATTTTTGATGCATTTTTAAGTGCTGAATGTGTCATTTTTGATACATTTTTAAGTGCTGTATTTATAATTTTTGTTTGCATTTTCAGAGCATTAACCTTCACTTCAGTTAATCAGTCAAAAAATATAATTTGTTAAATTGTCATTAAGACAGCAGTCATAAGAAAAAAGGAACTTTCTGTATCTCACCAAACCATCACTGTACAGTCCCCAGAGTCCCATTTTCTTCATTTGCATCCACACTTTGTTCTTTGTTTCTAGAGCACCATCTAGTGATAGCATTTTACTGCTTACAGTGTATGAAATGAAGGCATACAGCACAGTAAAGGATTCACCATTTTGTCTTTGTAAAATCTCAGTCTGTCCTCTTTCTGTGATTACTGTGATTGAACAGCTCTCTCCTGTTGACAGAATACGCCAGCGAGACACCAATGGCTCCTTTGCACTCGGTCTTTTACATAGTGGTCAGGTCATGCACTATCGCATCGACAGGGACAAAGCTGGCAAACTCTCCATTCCTGATGGGAAGAAGTTTGACACACTTTGGCAGGTAATTAATTCATATTACAACAAAGCTGACTGAATCCAAATAAATTTCTAATAGACTGAGGAGGTTGTTGCTTGTGTCTTAATTATAGTTCATGCTGTCGTAAAAGATTACTGTATCTTGCCTCTTGTTATTTTTTTGTAGTCTGTCAAATAACTATTAATGTCAAATTAACTGCAGAAGAGTCAATATCAGCTCTATTTGATATTTAACTTTAACAAGTACAAAGTGAATGAAAACAAATATGAAAACCATTAGTAATGCTGGTTTAGTCCTTCCATCAAGTTGTGCTAAACAGGCTGAATCCAGTGAGACGTACACTTCCTATTAACACACTCACACTGTTGTCTTGTAGCTGGTGGAGCATTATTCCTACAAACCTGACGGCTTGCTGAGAGTGCTAACAGAAGCCTGCCCACACCCTGACGGTAGCCATGTTTTATCTACATGTTGGATTGGAATGATCAATGGATTGATGAATGAATGGATGGATAAACAAATGAATAGACTGATGGACTGATGAAAGGATGGATGGATGGTTAGATGATGTTTGGGCAGATAGATGGATGGATGAATGAATGGAAGAGAGGTTGGTTGGGTACATGGCTGTATAAATGGATGGATGATGAGTGGATGATATTCGACAGATGGATGAATAGATGAATGGACATGTGCTTGTTTGGATAGATGGATATATAAATGGATGAATGGATAGATGATGTTTGGGCAGAGAGGTGGATGGATAAATGAATGAAAGGGTGGTTGGTTGGGTAGATGGATTGATGGATGGATGGATGGATGGATGGGTGGATAGATGAGTGAGTGGATGAATAGATGGTTGGATAGATGGAAAGCTTGGTTACTGGTAAATTAATCAATGAATTTTATAAAGCAGGTAGATGTGAATTTCCATAATAATTTATATCAAATTAAGACACATTCTTATTTATGTTCATATGTTGTTATTTATGTGTTTATGCTTAGGCCGACCTGCGATTCCTTTGAATCATCCAGGGGTGAGTGCTGTTCTATCATCATTATTTACAGGTGCAGAGAGCAAAACTGAGATGGAGAAAGAAAGAAATAAACAAGAGTGTGTTCACCACTTCAAATCCAGCCATGTTCTCAATCAGATAGTCTTCAGTTGTTTTCAACGTACAAGCAGACATTTACCGAAAGTATTAAATATGTAATAGACTTTAATCTGTGATGCACACGTAATGTGTATTACACTGAAGGAGGAACGGATATGAAAGATTTATTTCATGAACACACCATCTGCCATGCACTCTAGCCCTCACCACAATATTGACACAGCGGACTCAACGCTCACTAGCCAAAGCTGTTTCATGAAGTTTATAGCATCTTTACAAGACTGTGGCAGTGTCATCATATGAATGTTGTTCAGCATCTTTTATATTGTGAATAATAAACTGTGCTTCCTTATCAATTAATCTTGACAGGAGAACATCATTAGCTTTGATTTTCAGGGTTAGAATACAGCTTGACAATAACATATTGCATGAATTTAACCGTTAACATTATTACTAATGTCAATGCATGCAGCAATGCCTATGGGTCAGAGATAACAAGTGATGCAGTGTAGGGTTTCGGGCAATAATGTTATCCTCTCTAAAATTGTGGTTTCTAGCGGGGTCCTGCAAGTGGAATTCTCTCCAGACTCAAATCCTACTCCTTCCCCAAACCTGGCCAGAAAAAGGTGCCTAAACATGCCAAAATCCCCGCTCCTCCCTACTTACAGTGCATTGCTCTCATCCACTACTGCTGCTAACTCGCCTCCATGGGGTTGCCCGCACCCTCTCTCACATCTTCCTCCACTCACCACCCTGCACATCACCTTAACTCATCCGACGCAAGTCCACCGTCCATCTTCCCCATTAGCGTCTCACTGTTTGCATTTGGTACCTGAATCACAGTTTAGAAACTGAAAAGCTCACAGTTTTGCAACACATGCATTAGTTGTTAACTGAACATACTTCCATCATGCTAAAGCTACTATTTTGTGAATAAAACTTAATTTTGTTGAGCAGCTATTTCCTATTGTAATCATAAAGGCATGCAGCGCTAACCTGTGAGCTTTGCGGTTTCCATTTTTGCTACATGTTAAGCATAATTTAAATGTTTTTTGTTGTTAAATGTTCAAACCACACTCCACTGGCATATCAACCTCATAGAAGGGACTTGCCACTGTGGTAAATTACTCAAAATAGACCCAGTTAGTAAAGCAAGCCTGTGGCAAATGACAGTGTGGCACCCATGTGGTGAAGAAAGATTAAACACATTCACCTGTAATCCTAAAAATACCTCTAGTTACATCATGCACACATCCACCTTAAACGAATGGGTCGGTGAACAATCAAATTTACACAATTTTAAACATACCCCAGATGTAGAGCAGCAAAGACATGTTTGGTGTCCAAATTTTGCTTCTTTAGTTTAGTGGTGGAGCTACAAGGCTATAAGGCCGATGTTGCTAACAAACACTAGAAGTCAATAGTCACCTAAATCTTTTCTGTTAACCCATCCTCAAAACCTCTCTCAAATCGCATCTAGATCTTCATTAAGGTCATGCAGACTTGTTGATGTGGTTTAAGACTCAGTATGACTTACTGTGAACTATTAAAATGAACAAAACCTAACCGTGTATCCAAATGCTGCCAAATTTCAGCACAACACCCGTTGTCCAAAGTGGCTGGCTATAGGCTACAAGGTGAAGTTCAGTTCATTTTTATAGTGTAGGTAAGGGCATAGTATGATCTACTGTGAACTATAAAATTGAACAGAACTTCACAGAGCAGCCAAACAACAGATGTTGGAGCAGATGTTGGATACATGGCTACATTTTGTGCAGTGAGTCATACTGGATCTTAAATCACATTCACAAATCTTTATGATCTTAATAAAGACCTAGATGTGGTTTGAGAAAAGTTTTGGAGATGTATTTACAGAAAAGATTTGGGTGACTATTGACTCCTGATGTTTGTTAGTTACATTAGCCTTGTAGCTCCAGTGCCAAGCTAAAGTGGCTAAAAATCATTGGCTAAAACATCAGCTGCAGTGCCATCTAGTGTTAACTTCCCAGTTTTAACTGAAGGTCTTATAGTACAAATAGTTCAGGCAAATCACTTTATCAGCAGGGTGTAAATCACTTTATTATAGATTAAGTCAAATGAAAATGAAGCAAAGCAAATAAAAGAGGTCAGCAATGTTGCACTTTTAATTTTATGTGTAAACAAGTAGCATCATTGCATTAACACAAATTCAGTCTTTTCTTGTGATTTTAACTGGCCTGTCATCTCCTATGCCTGCATAAGATTCATAAGACTCTTTTCTTTGTTATAACTTACATGATAAATTCACCCTGTGGCTTTTTTTAACTATTCGTGGACTGAGATTCTCCTCTCATTCATGGTCTTCCACCAGAACTCCACAAAGTCAAGTCAGTCACTGTTTTTTTAATGACAGACAGCATATATCACGAAAGATTGCAAAGCATTTTGATGCAAGAGGCCATGAAGGAGACTGGGAAACAATGTTTGGTGTGCTTGTGTGTCGTTTCATCAACATGGTGTGTCATTAGCCATCGTGTGTGTTTCTCTATCATTCTGACCTGCTTCTTGTATTGTGTATCTACAGCAAAGAAGCTCTTCAAGCCCCCCACCATACAGTACTGAGAGCAATGCTAATCCGTATGAAAAGCCAAAAGCTGGTACAGGTGAGCTGAAAGTTTCATAATTAGCCCATGGACACACAAAGTCATTCCAAGCCAGCCTGCCTGGGGCCTGGCAGGTCATATCATGGATTTCCTTAGAAATAAAAAAAAAAAGTAAAAAGTTCTATTTAATTCATGCAACCATGCAAAATTTTAAAACTGTTTTAGTTTTTCAGTTCTAATCTACACATTAGGCACTGAGTGAGAATTTTAACTGGGTGTAAATACAACGCTAAGAATAATTTTAAATCAAGGCTTGTATCATCTATTCCGGTAACACATTCATTTTTTGGAGAGTGTACTTTTTATGTAAGAGTGGGAAATCCTTTGTCATTAAATATAACCTTATGTTTTAACATTTTTGTAACGCTAAACTAACTGTAACTATTCATTTTTGCAATATTTACTTCAGGTTACTCCATGATATCACAATTGCTTCACATCTAAAATCTATTTCAGAGGCCTTTTTGACCCTTTAATTTCTCAGAAGGGATTAATCCTGTTTCCATCAAACTAGAAATGCACCCATCGTCAATCTTTTATGACTGATTCAGATTTCTTTACAGTAAAATTGGCCTTTGGTCACAAACAGACTGATTTTTGTTCATTTTTCATGCTCTTTTTACTGGGCGTCCTCAACAACTAGGTCAAAATGCAGCAGCATGGTTCCTAACAAAAATGAAACAGAGCTCAAATCACTTCTGCTTTGACAGAACTGCACTGGCTACCTCTATATTTCAGGGTAGATTTTAACGTTCTTTTAGTTTTTTTTTTAAACTCTAAATGGCCTAAAGCATCAGCATACCTCACAGAATGTCTGTGTGTTTATGCTCCAGCGTGGAACTCAATTCACCCCCATTTCCAAAAAAGTAGGAAAGCTGTGCAGAATGTAAATAAAAATAGGATGCAATGATATACAAATCATGTAAACCATATTTTTAGAGGAACATACTACAAAGACAACATATCAAATGTTGAAACTAAGAATTTTTTATTGTTTTTTGTAAAATATATGTCCATTTTGAATTTGACACCAACAACACGTTCCAAAAAAGTTGGGACGGGGGCATGTTTACCACTGTGTTTCAAAACATGTATATATCATTCAGCATTAATGTTGCCTTCACAGATGTGCACGTCAGCCATGCCATGTGCACCAATATCCCCCATACCATCATGAATACTGGCTTTTGAACTGTATGCTGATAACATGCTGAGTGATCTTTAGCCCGGAGGCCACAGTGTCCATGATTTCCAAAAATAATTTCAAGTGTTGATTTGTTGGACCAGGGCGGCACAGTGGCGCAGTGAGTAGCGCTGTCGCCTCACAGCAAGAATGGCCTGGAGTTTGCCTGTTCTCCCTGTGTCTGCGTGGGTTTCCTCCGGGTACTCCGGTTTCCTCCCACAGTCCAAAAACATGCAGTCAGGCTGATTGGACATGATTGGCAAATATTTTTCAATAAACAATAAAATTTCTCTGTTTCGATATGATATCTTTGAAGCATTTTCAATAAAATATAGAGTTTAAATGATTTGCACATCATTGCCTTTTGTTTTTATTTACATTTTCACAGTGTCCCAACTTTTTTGGAAATGGGGTTGTAAATATAATAAAACACTAAATAGTGAAGTAGTGTAATAGTAAATATAATAAAACAGTAAATAGTGAAATAGTGTAAAAGTAAATATAATAAACCATAAATAGTAACTAGTGAAATAGTAAATACAATAAAACAGTAAATATTGAAATAGTAAATATAATAAAACATTAAATAGTGAAACAGAGTAATAGTACATATAATAAAACAGTAAATAGTGAAAAAGTAAATATAATAAAACAGTAAATAGTGAAAAAGTAAATATAATAAAACAGTAAATAATAAAATACTGGATTCCCACCTGTATCTTTCCAATACTATAGGAAGTCTGTGTCCCCCTGAGAGATAATGCATTCTTTCATTTCTTATTGTTGGGGGATCTGTTATTCACAGACAACAACCAACAAGTATCCTTGGATATCCTTGGACAAAGCAAGCGTTAAAAGTTAGTAACTGAAAAACTGAAACTATTTGGAGCACTGTTCTAAAAATTACATATAGTTTCACGAATAAAATAGAACTTGAATTTTTTACTAGGAATTCCATGACATGAGTTGGTCTGGAATAACCCGGTTATAAGAGTGATGACCGGCAATGAGTTTCTCTTCCTTCTTGCTATTCTCTGTCTTGCTGTAATTATTGGCTTTCTCACCCAGATATGCCCATGGACACGGAGGTGTACGAGAGTCCATACGCTGACCCTGATGAACTGCGCACCACCACAGTGGACCGCAAGCAGCTGTTCCTAGAAGATGGGGAACTCGGCTCGGGCAACTTTGGGACAGTTCTCAGAGGCATCTACAAGATGAGGAAGTGAGTCACTGACGAAGCCAATGTGAAAAGTTCCTGTTATTTTTCTTCACAGCTGAGCTTTAATTAACTGAAGACATTGACTTGCAACCACATACATGATCATATGTGTTAAAACATAGAGACGTATTGTCTAGTACTGTGGTTCCCCGGCCTGGTCCTAAAGTTCTCCTGCGCTGCATATTTTGGTGTTTTCCCTGCCTCAGCACACTTGAACCAAGCAGGGGATGTTAAAAAAAGCAATAATGTGAATGTGACGATTCAGTCCATCAGTTTTGGAATCCTAGAATTAACTATAATTGTTAAGTCAAAAAAGTAAGAAGCACCTTATGGACCTGACTTGTAGCTCACTCACTTTCTCTCTTAATCACATTGAGCAGATATTCAAAGATCCTCCACAATGGTTGCTATTAGCACTCAAGTAGCACTCAAGTTTGGTGATTCATAAGAGTGGTGCTCGAATCAATGACACCATGTTCTTGTTATTGTCTATATCCAGCTACCATGTAAATAGTCCCTTCAATAATGTTTGTGTATTCAGTTTATTTTTGCAATCATTATGAATTGTACCAAAATAGTCTAATCCAAGTGATTTGAATTGTGACAAATTTTTTAATTTCAGTTCTAACTGAATCATTTCCTAAAGAACTATAATTGAACCTAAACATGTTTAAGGTTAGAAAGTTGGTTTTAGGAAATGTTATTTTATTTTTAATTTTATTCATATGGAAACTTTACATTATATGGAGCTTCTTGAAATCTGTTCTTCACACCTGCACATAATTTACTTGGCTCCCCAGACAATCCACTTTTGTGTTCTGTCTCTATGCTTTATAAGTTAGTTTAAACAAGCTGGGAGACCCTGAGGACCAGTTTTAGAACCACTGCTTTAAAGAACCAACAATTTAGAGGTTCTTTAAGGAACGCTGCTCCAAAGAACGTACCTTTATTTTTAAGTGTAGCTTTTATGTATTTTTGAGTATTATATCATTTCAAAGTATTAGATGTACACATACTTTTCCAGCTAGTTGTTATTTTTGGGGGGGCTATGACATGAAACTTATTAGATCCTAACTTTGTCATAAATTCAGCCTGATGTGTTTAACTGATAGTATGTGGTGCAGTTAAAGCTGTTTGTGATCATGTGTATATGTGTACCTTAGAAAAGAGAAACCAGTGGCAGTGAAGATCCTGAAGAATGAGGAGAACAATGAGGCGATAAAGCAGGACATGCTGCGTGAGGCTGAGGTCATGCAGCAGCTGGACAACCCTTACATCGTTCGCATGATCGGCATCTGTGAGGCTGAGAACCTGATGCTGGTGATGGAGCTGGCTGAGCTGGGTCCACTGCACAAGTTCCTGCAAAAGAACAAGTACAGTACTCCTTTTCCTCTTCCAATGCGGTGTTCACAGACTTTCACTGAATAGGGCTGTAAAAATGCATTGATTGATTGTGGTGCATGTATCTGAAAATTGGGATTTAACTGTGCTTATTTAGAAAACAAGATCATATTAGACCAGTTTTAGCATCACTGCAGTGGCTGCCTGTCTCTTTTAGAATCGACTATAAAATTTTACTACTAGTTTTTAAATCTTTTAATGGTTTAGCACCCTCGTTCATTTCTGAGTGCTGATAGAATATGTTCCAAGTCGAGCTGTAAGATCATCTAGTGTGAGCCTTCTCCATATTCCACGTATGAAACATAAAAAGAGCGAAGAGGCAGTGTTTTGTTTTTATGCACCAAAGATCTGGAACACATTAATAATAAACATCCATCGGACTCCTTCTGTCAATGTTTTAAAAATAACAGTTAAAAACATATTTCTTTACTTTAGCATAAGGGAAGTTTGTTTATTGTTTCCTTTGTTTTTACTAGAATATTACTATTACATTTACCTTCTTGTTAGTTGTATTTTTATTGTATTTTTAAATATACTTTTACATATATTCATTATTACCATATCCCCTTTTCTGCTATTTATTTGTTTATTTTATCTTAGACAATCTTTTTTCTCTTCTTCCTCTGTTTTTGCTTGGTATTGTAAAACACTCTGAGCTGCATTTTTAAAGTATGAAAGGTGCTATATAAATAAACATTATTATTATTATTAGAATGTTAGTATTAAACTAAAATAATGTTCATAAGCAGCAGTTGGAAAAGATGGTGGCACTTCATTGTCTTGGAGGAAGCACATTCTAACCTTCACCCTAGCTTGTTAGTGTCATGTGATAGAGAGAGAACTAACTAGAGTCTAAAATTGGGCACAGCTAGACTGGGGAGAGAAGTAGGTACAGAAAAACAACACAACGAAATTGGAGATTTCATGATCCGCTAAATTGTTTGCTAAAGAATTCAAATTGAATTGAACAGTGTGATACACCCCTGCTCTCCAAAGTGTTGGAGAGAAACAAATAAATCCTGACCCAAGCAAATCCAACCAGGCTGCAGGTGTGAATTAAAGTTTCATGCCACATCATGTGACAATGCACAGTATTCTGGACCAACATGCCAAAATCCTTTCACCATAGTGCCATTATTATTGGAAGCTAATGATATTAAAAAAGAAACAAAAGAAAAACAAAAGAAACATTGATTTCTGACAATTTAAAGTGATACATCATATAGTGGTCATTCTAGAATAAATACAAGGTGATGTGAGGGCAAGAATTTGTTGGTTATGCTCTGTAAAACATGGCTTAGACTGAACACCTGCCAACAAATTTCAACATGGAATCATTTTATATACGTAGATCAGGCATAACATTATGACCACCTCTTTGTTTCTATGTTCATTGTCCATTTTATCAGCTCCACTCACTATATAGGTGCACTTTGTAATTCTACAATTACAGACTGTAGTCCATCTGTTTCTGTGCATACTTTGTTAGCCCCCTTTTACCCTGTTCTTCAGTGGTCAAGACCCCCATGGACCCTCACAGAGCAGGTACTATTTGGGTGGTGGATCATTCTCAGCACTGCAGTAACACTGACATGGTGGTGGTGTGTTAGTGTGTGTTGCGCTGGTATGAGTGGATCAGACACAGCAGTGCTGCTGGAGTTTTAAACACTGTGTCCACTCACTGTCCACGCTATTAGACACTCCTACCTTGTCAGTCCACCTTGAAGATGTAAAGTCAGAGACGATAGCTCATCTGCTGCTGCACAGTTTGTGTTGGTCATCCTCTAGTCCTTCATCAGTGGTCACAGGACGCTGCCCACAGGACGCTGTTGGCTGGATATTTTTGGTTGGTGGACTATTCTCAGTCCAGCAGCGACATTGAGGTATTTAAAAACTCCAGCCGCACTGCTGTTTCTGATCCACTCATACCAGCTCTGCAGTGCTGAGAATGATCCATCACCCAAATAGTACCTGCTCTGTGTGGGTCCATGGGGGTCCTGACCACTGAAGAACAGGGTAAAAGGGGGCTAACAAAGTGTGCAGAGAAACAGATGGACTACAGTCTGTAATTGTAGAACTACAAAGTGCACCTATATAGTAAGTGGAGCTGATAAAATGAGCAATAAGTGTAGAAACAAGGAGGTGTTCATAATGTTATGCCTGATTGGTGTATGTTAAAATGTTAATATGTAAAAAAAGGTCCCTAAAAGATTCTAACATGTCAACCAAATGTGATGCAGTTATAAGCACATCATCACTAAATGTTTACATGTTTATATAGTTTAGCCCTATATAGTTTAGCCCTACAGGCCTAATGTTCAGTTATGTATCTTAACATTTTTTACCCAGTAACTACTTTTTCAGTAACTACTATGAAACTAATATGCTGGTTGTGTACTTATAAGTGAAGAACTAAAATAAGGACCCACATACCCTCAGAGTTTAATGGTTTGATGTAAAATAAACTAGAAACATCTGGCACAGGCAGTGGAGTGATTTTGTTTGTTTTTGATGCAGACATGTCTCCATGAAGAACATCACAGAGCTTGTGCATCAGGTGTCTATGGGGATGAAGTACCTGGAGGAGCACAACTTTGTTCACAGAGATCTGGCAGCCAGAAACGTCCTTTTAGTCACACAGCACTACGCCAAGATCAGCGACTTCGGCCTGTCCAAGGCCCTTGAGGACTCTGACTGTTACAAGGTAAAGCTCACCTCCAAAACAGGTTTGCTACAGTTGGAGTCTGTGAAGAAGAGCATTATGCAACAGGATAAAAGATGCTCTCGATTTCTTCAAGGGCCCATATCATGGAAAAGCAAAATGTCCTTACTTTTTTAAAACAAAAGACTCATTGATGTTTCAAAAAGCACTGATCACTTTCTCAGTCCATATAGTCCATATAGTCCATATATGGGCAAACAATTAGAATTCTTCATGGTTGTGATGTCACAGCTATTGACACATTTACATATGACCGCCCATTCAACGTACTACAGTTTAGCCCTGCTGTAAACGCTGAAGTGAGGTTAAGTGTTGTAAAGTGATTGAACTTTGTGCTGTTTCTGGCTGTCTGAAAGCAAATGTATCACTGCAGCCTTCTAGATGATTCCAGACATTTGGGCTTAAGTTCATTTTTTCTGACATAACCGAGTATTTTTGTGTTTTTCTGTATAGCCTAAAACTCCAATCTTTGAGATCCACTGCAGAACAGTACAGTTTAGTGACAGTCCTGCTGTAACAAACCTGCCTCAGTTCCTCAAATGCTTGATTATTATCTTATGGGTTGAATCAGGTAGAGAGCAGAGCAGGGAAAACTCTACTAAGGAGAGGCGTGAAGGTGTAGAATCTGCTAAACAAACTCATGACCACTGCTGTTTGTCCTCTCTTATCTAGTCCAAAGGTGTCGGTAAGTGGCCTGTGAAGTGGTATGCTCCAGAATGCATGAACTTCTTCAAGTTCTCCTGTAAGAGTGACGTGTGGAGCTTCGGGGTTCTGATGTGGGAGGCGTACTCATACGGACAGAAGCCATACAAGGTATGTGGCATAAAGCTTTTACCTGCATGCCAGCTTTGATTGTTGATTGATGAGAGTATTATATATATATATATGGCAAAATTTATAAATAAAATACTAAAATTCACAATCAGAAATGAAGTATCAAATATGTTGCAAATATAAAGTATAACAATTAGTTTAAACGTCAAATAGCTGAAAAATCAGGGTAACACTTTACTGATCACACCTTCACAAGCTCAGCATGACAGCTGACACAAACCTATATAAATATTTCTAAAGGCAGAATCCAAGAGGCACTGTCTATCATAATGTCTGCTTTTTTCAAAAACTATGATATCAAGTAAATATAACACATATGTCAAGTGACAATTCCTTTTTCTGACGCTGTGACCCTTTTTTGGGTGAAATGATATAATGCATTAGAAGAACTGACTGTAGCTTGGTGTATATCACAGTGACACTTTAAATATTATAAATGGACAAATGAAACTCTCTTTAACTAAGGGCCACAGAAAATGTGTCTGACTGGGCACTCCATGTCTTATTATCAGCATTATGTCACATTTCACCCCAGTAAGTGTCCTGAGTCAACCTAATGTCAAACTAAAATCAGTGCCACCTGACAGGTGTTACGTCGACTTGCCATCGAAACTGGCAACAGCAACCTTTAAGACAATGACGGCTGCTGGAATAAGCCTTTATAAATGTTTCTGTAGGGTTGTGACAGTTGTAATGAGAGGCTTATGTAGGTGTCATGTAGACTGATGAACACAAGCCTAAACATGTTTTCAAAAATTAAGATTGATTTCATTATTCTTTGTATTTGCAACATACTTTTTCACATTTTGGTTTATAATATTTTGCTTGTAGTTTTTGTAGTTTTTTTTAAAGCTTTTGAAACAAAATGAACTCCAAATAATTAACCATGTATATACACATATACACACACACACATATATATATATATATATATATATATATATATATATATATATATATATATATATATATATACACTAATTGGCCAGATTATTTGGTGCATTATTTATTAACATACCTCATCAAATCCTCCTAGAATGCACACAACATTGTTCATTAATCATTATTGCGATTTTGGCCTTTGCATGACTGATTTGCAGAATGCTGCAATATGCAAATTCCACATGAGCATTTCTGATGTCATGATCAATCAAAGTATTCAGTTAATCCAACAAAACATCCATTATATTACTCACAGTTTGTTGTGTACTGTCTACTTTACATATATATTTTCAATATTTTTTCTGTATTTATTTTATTACATTTAATTTTATGTTGACACCTGCACCTAGATAAAAAAAATATGTATCTAGTACTTGGTAAATAAAGATGATTCTGAAAGGTTATTTTATTATAATTATTTCAGTCTACATAATCCAAGCCAATCTTTAATTATGTAACATTACTGATTAACCAATGCTTTATTCATATATTGCGAGGCATCGTTTTTATGTAGCAATGTAATCCCAATGCTAGTATTTCGTCCATATCATACAGCTCTGTAATCACACATACAACAGCAAAAAAACAACAAAGCATTGAAATAAATTGTTTCAAAAGCTGGGGTTAGGGATGATTGTGGAGGCCTTGGGTTTGACCATAAGCTTGTAGGTGAGTAAAAAGCCCTTCTGCCTTTTGCTGTGTAGGGGATGAAGGGTAATGAAGTGATCCAGATGATTGAGAGCGGGGAGAGAATGGCTGCTCCAGCCAACTGCCCACCTGAGATGTATGACCTAATGAAGAAATGCTGGACATACAAGTGAGTGACACAGAAAGTTTGGTGCAAAACAAATTAGTATTATTAGTTTTTTAAACTAGCTATGACATGTCACTAAATCATAACTAAATGTCTTGTTTCTTCTGTCCAGGGTGGATCAGAGGCCTGGCTTTGTTGTGGTTGAGCCCAGATTGAGACAGTACTATTACGATATTTCTCACTGATCAGCGCATATGCTGGAAGATGACCTGGAGCTGTTTGTACAAGGAGTTTAAATCATTTCTGATTTCAGGCCCAACATTAATTATGCTTGAAAAGTCTGACAGAGTTGAAATCCGAGTTGAAAAAAGAGTGGATGTGAGAGCTAACAAGTCTGAATACTCCTCTCATTATTTAAATGCAAGCTTGTTCAAAAATGTTTCGAGCCAAAGTTTTGATCGGCAAATGCTTGTCTTGACAGTTTTCCTACAGCAGTATGTTATTTGTAATATCAATTTCTGTTGTATAATTTTTCTACATTTTTACTGATATGCTTAGCAATACGATGCAGTATGATAGAGTAATGAATTCTTAAAATCTGAATGTTGTCCTTTGGTTTTAGCTGTCTAAGTGTAAGCAGAAATAAAGTTGAAAGAGTAGAATGAGCTTAAGGCAGGTAATCAGCTGAATCTTCAGCTGCAAAAGCAATAGTATATTGAAAGGCCACCAGCAGCAGGCAGGGATGCTTTTTATTGTATCTTAAACTTACTGCCACAGTATTTTCAGCTGTAATTAGCAACACTTTATTTGACTATAGTTATAACACATTCATGATTCAAGACACAGATATTCATATTCAGATGCAGGAGTAACCAGCTAATGGCTACTAATACTAATAATGGCAGTCCAAAAATACTGAGAGCAGACGGATTCTAATTGGCCTACAGAAAGCTTCCCTACTTATGTTCCTGCAGTTATTTCATTTTTAGTAATACTGCAAAGATTACATTTTGCAGCTTTTAGTTTTTGATTACTTTCTGAATTTTCTCAAAAGTTTGAAAATAGGAACAAAAACATTTTGTATCCTTTATTGGTTTTGCAATCAGTATTTTTACTCTATATGCAGAAATTTACTGTCTGTGTTTTTGTTGCGAGCCCCAGTTAAAGTGCTTCCTGATACCAGTGAGAATGAAATGGAAATACTTTCAGATCCTTCCCTTCTTCTTCCGGCTTCCGTCTCTTTTATCTTCACTCAGACTGGCTGAATGGGCTAGCATGTCTTACCAGGCTTCAACACATTTTCCGGTCTTCCTTGCTCTTGTATGACAGAATGTGAATGCAAAATTGTGATGCATTTTGTTGGCCTATGCATAAGCAGTTCTTCCAATGAATAAATAAAAGAGGTATTTTAAAACAGTTTGCTTCTGTGGGGATTTCCTTTGACAAAAGAATAATTTGGGGTTTTCAGCTTCCAAAAACACTGCTGACTTCTCTGGGCTCAAGCTCATCTAAAACGGATGGATGTACAGTAAAAATGTGCACTGCGGTCTGATGAGTCCACCACTCAGATTGTTTATGGAATTAATGGATGTTGTGTTTTCTGGGCCATAGACGAAAAGAACCCTCCAAGTACAAAGAAGTATTTTAAAAGTGTTTGCTTCTGTGGTGACCTCCCTCAACATTAAAGGAATAGTTTGACGAAAAATTTAATTTCCACAGTTTCAACTTACCTTAGATATAGTTGATATGCCAAGACATGTTTGGTGTCTAAATTTTGCTTATTTAGTTTAGCACTGGACCTACAAGGCAATTGCCCTAGGTTTTATTTCAACAGCCTGAGGGGCAGGTGAGGACAGGGACACTTGCAGATCTCTGATGTCTCTGATCAATATAGCTGTAGAGAGAGGGCTGAGAAAGAGAAGCGCACTAACAGAGCTAAAACAGCACTTTATCTGCTTCAACAAATCGAAGGCATTTAGAGTGAGACCCTTGCACCAACTGGGCCCCAGACAACAGAGCTTAAAACCAGACTCTCCAGTCCAAATCTGCACTCTAAATTTAAACACCTGGCATCCCTGGTTAAACATTTGTACATGTCACACAGACACAGAAATACAACTTTAGATGTATACGATTTTTTATATAACTAAATAAACTAATTCTATTATATTAACTAAAAAAACTTGCTAAACCTACTCAACTAGTTAGCTCCAGAGAAATCTCTGTATGAAAAGGAAAAGGCCAAAAGCCCCAAATGAATGCCCATGACCTTCAGCCCCTCAGACTGCAATGCAGTAAAATCAGCATGCTTCTGTGATAAAAATCACCACATAGGCCCAGGAGTACAAATCGTTATCAGTAAACACCGTCTTTTGCTGCATCCTCAAATGTGCATCCTGTACTATGCACGGTGGCTGTCAAGAGCATCCAGAAACACCATCAACTTCTCTGGACTCAAGCTGAAATGGACAGATAAACAGTGGAAATGTCCACCTTTCAGACCGTTCATAGAATTAATGGATGTAGTGTTTTGTGGGCCATAGAAGAAAAGAACCATCCAGATTGTTACTAGTGTGAAGTTCAAAAGCCATATGCTGCCTTTTAGGCACTGTCTTTTTATGAGATGTTAATGCTTATTTTAACCTGACAACACCAAGCCACATTCTGTGCATGTTACAACAAATTGGCTGTGTGATCAGAGAATATGGAAGCTAGACTGGCCTGCCTGCAGTCCAGAATTGTCTCCCATTGAAAATGTGTGGCAGATTATTAAATTCAAAACACAAGGGTGCCCAATCCCGGTCCTGGAGATCTACCACCCTGGAGAACTCAGATCCAGCACACTTGGTTCTATTATTCAGATGTCCCTAAAGGCCTTCATTACTTGGATCAGGTATGAGAGACTACAGTAATAGCTATCGTATAAACTCTGCAGAGTAGTAGATATCCAGGACCAGTATTGGACACCCCTCTTTTGTTCATTTTTATAGTTCACACGTTATACGTGTCCTAAATCACATTGACAAGTCCAAAATAAAGACTTTTTTGAGAAGAGTTTTGGGCATGTATTTATGAAAACGATTTAGGTGTCTATTGATTTGTTTGTTTGTTAGCAATGTTAGCCTCGTAACTCCAGACCCAAAGTAAACCAACTAAATTTGGACACCAAATTTGTCTTGACCGATCTACATCTGGGGTAAGTGCCAGCACAATAGATTCAAGCAGCTTTTGTGCCCCTTTGGTGCTGCATTTTTTTTTCTGCAATGCAGTTTTCAGTTTGGCCAGTAGATGTCAGCAGTCACCCATTTTAGTAACCAGTGAAGTCAATGGCGCAGGTAAGGCAACGCTGTGATCGGGTGTCCTCTCTGGAATGTGATTACAGGCTTGCAGTGCATGATAGATTGTAAGTATGATATTGATATCTTTACACTACAGTACCTTAATTTCAATATGAAAATTATGCTCAAGAGTGCAGATGCTTCCAGACAGGTATGTTGCATGATGTGTTGAAGACTATAATTATTTAAAATCTTACCATGCTCTGTGACATGTGTAAACATTCTGAACAGGTCAGCTGACCTCACTTTTGGACCAAGATGGCAAGAGGCGAAGAGGGTTCATTGTTGGGGCACTGTTTCAGCAATGAACCCTCAACTGGCTAGAGTTTCAGTAGAAACAGTGACTAAAGTGGCATATATATATCTGTGGAAGAGACATCAGTAAGAAATTGTGCTCTAAAGTGCACATGTAATAGACAGTGCTTCTGGATTACTGTGATTTGTGAGGAAATCAGAAAAGTAACTGTTCCTCATGCCTGAGAATGGCAAGGCGTAATGTCATCAGACAACAGCAGTCCTTCCACAACTACACAGAGAGGGATATTATAGTATGATTGAATGTATAAACCCACCATTACAAAGATGAAGGAGCATTTGAGAGTTCAGTTTATGCACAGGTCAACAGAAATGTGTAAAAACAAGGTCAGATGAGTCATCCTTCACCAGATTCTCCACAAGTGGGAGAGTGCATGTGTGCTTACATCAAAAGAACAGTAAAGTAAGGAAAGTTTGAGGGGGTTCAGTGGCTGTGGGGGGCATTTTGCTGCCATGATTTGAGAACACCTATCCCCTTCAGAGAAAAAAGTCACTGCAAATCAAAAAAAAAAAATTATATATATATACATACATGCATATATATATATATATATATATATATATATATATATATATATATATATATATATATATATATATATATATATATATATATACACATATATATATACACACATCTTTCGAAGCATAACACTAACTTGACACTGATGGTTAATGATTTCCATGCTAAAAAAAACAAAGACTTCCAAACTCACCTAAACAGGCCTGACTATTTTCATTCCACAGCTCTGTAAACTTCATATTATATTCATAAAAGTTTTGAACTGATTTTACTGACTAATTTCTAGGTTTTCAAATAACATCAGCCATTCATTATTTTAATCAGCACAACTGGCTGTGTTATGTTCAAAGCCAGTGATAACCATGTGCCGTTTAATTAAGATTTACCAGAATGCTGTTTTTTCCAGTTGGTGCAGATTTGTATGGCATTGTATGTAGTAATGCAGAAACAAAGTTATGAGTAATGAGATTTTTTTTTTCCCAGGAAGTAGTAAGTAAATAATCCTATTACAGTTCTAGAGAAGTAATTAGTCATTTCTAATGGACTCATTTCCTTGAATAACAGCCCAACACTAGTATTTCAATGAAACTTGCAACGTTACTAAGCTAAACAGCAAACATAAACATTTATCTGTCCAAATAACACAAAGTAACTAAGACAGAAGAACATGTTTAATAGTAACTTTCATTTGATCCACAAACATTTTCACCACAGTATCCACACATGCCACAGTATCTGCTGAGTACAGGACAATCTCTTTCCTGTAAACACTACTTTAATCCAAAAAATCCAAAAAGTAGAAATAGTATGTAAACATAATGTTACTTTATTTATTTACTGTTCAATGTTTTACCTTTTCAGCTCAAAATTTATACTTAAAGTTTACTTTATTAAGTAAACTTCAGTAAAGTTCAAGTATATTTCCTAAGTATATTTTAAGTAGTAAGTATACTTATATCAATGTTCTAATAGTAAACTTATAAGTGTACTATTTCAATAATTTTTGGGACTAATGTGGCCCACTTTTTAGTTTATTAAACATATTTAATAAAGTATTAAGTGTAAAAGTAGTAAACTTTGAGAACACAACTAGTTTACATGTTTTAAAAGTTTTATTTTATAATTCAACTATACAGTGAAATACACTATAAGTGAACATATAGGTGCTAGTTATGTACTTCTAGCCCAATTTTTATTTCATAAAAGTATATTTTATATTATATATTTGATATTTATATTATAGAAGTACAAGAACAAGTACAGGCCACAAGTACATACAAATATACGAATAAGTACATACACGTATGTCTGTATATACAAGTACAAGTATAGGCCAAATATATTTAAACTTTTCTGCATACTTGTCAGTATAAACCAAGTATACTTATGTATAATTTTGTCCAATATATCTTTGATAAGTACTTAAAAAGCACATATATTTGGTTTAAAAGAAGTATACTAGTAGCACACTTGAATAAACTTTTTTTAAGGGTATATTACATTGTGAAAAAAAAACATCTTAAACACATAATAGCCAATGGTATTAATGCTCTCAGGTATGTGTAAAATTCAGAGGGGCTCTGTAGTTTTCAAGACCTTTGTCTTTTGTTCAGCATCCCAGAAACTTCTTTTTTTATTTGAGGTTACGAGCTGTGCTTCAAGGATATGGGGTTCCTTGGAGATCACGAATTAAAAACTAAAAATACCCCTTGCAAAGGATTTTGTTTCATATATACATTAATGGCTGCAAGAAATATATTACTGTACTATTATTCTTAGTATACAAAATCATAGGGGAAAGAATTCGGTCATTGAAGCAGAATCTGTTGAGTGGGACACGGCTTGGAGAAACATTTTTAAGGCATCAAAGGATCACAGTCACTAAGTGATTCATTTTAAGCTCTGTCATAGGGTGTACTGGACACCACTATCAAGATTTCAACTCTAACTATGAGTAATGCTCTCTAGGGATACGTGGTTCTTTGAAACATATGGTTTGGGAATGTCCAGAGGTTTATTTATTTTAGAAGAAAGTGACTTCTGTACTTTCTGAACCCATGGGAAAGGATTTTCTTGACCAGTTTTATTGCTTCTCAATGATGATTCACATCTACAGCTCAATAATAAACAACACAATTTTTTTGCTGGTTTGACTGCAGCAAAAAAGCAAAGGCTTCAACAATCAAAATATGTGAAAACATGGCCTGTAACTTCACTGCTTAATACATGAGTAAAGTGTA